TGCTGGCTGGGTGCTGGCAGGCTTGCACCTGGCACGGGCACCGTAGCCAGCCCGTGGCCCTTTAAGAAGTCCGGGGCCGGGAGGGGGGCAGTAGAGTTTCCCTGGTGTTGGCCAGAGTGGCCACCAGGGAAACCTGGGGAGGGCTAGCCTCCCACTAGTTTGAATTAAGGGGCTACACAGCCCTTAATTCGAACTAGTAAGTTCGAACTAGGTTTAATCCTCGTGGAATGAGGATTACCTAGTTCGAACTAAGCGCTCCGTTAGTTCGAATTAAGTTCAACTAACGGAGCACTAGTGTAGCGCCTATGAAAGTTAGTTCGAACTAACGTCCGTTAGTTCGAACTAACTTTGTAGTGTAGACATACCCAGAGAGACTACAATTACCAGACTTTAAGAAGGAAGCAAGTGAACCATCACATTTGCAGATACCAAAGTCAGTGTCATTCCTTGCAAGTCTGCAGCCAACATTAGGTGAAGTATCTGGTGAGTACAGAGTTAATATTTGTTAAAACTGCCACATATTAAATACCCTAAACGTCATTAATGCAGACTTAAGATTCTCCAGTAGTGCCTTGTGCTCTTCCAGAATATTGAGAGTGGCTAACCTTAAACATCTGGAAACCAGGAATACAAGTCCGCCCCTTGTTTGTCTGCACAGCGAAGTTAGTCTGGACACTCCGCGGTCGACATCAAAAGCTCCTTTGTTGACCGCCCTGGTAAACCTCATCCCACAATCCTTCATTTTGATGTAAATGAAGCGGGGATTATTTAAACCGCCGCTTCATTTTCCTATGTCTACAAATCTCATCCACATGGCTCTGTCAGTGGAGCCATGTAATGTAGACATACCCTATCAGAGGCTCAAGCTTGTCTGACAAATAGAAACCCACAACCTGAGTGAAATTGAATCTTGTGTCTTTAGTAATGACTGTTGTGGAACCCAGTGTGTTTCCTGCCCATTTCCAGATAATCTTCACACCTTTTCCACTCTATATCCTCTAAGAGGTGTCAGGGAGCTACCTACTCAGATGCACCAGGTAATCAGCCTCGGTACTGGGCCCAGTGCCTAGCAAAGGAAAATTGCTTCTTTCAAACTTTTCTTGGTAGAATTAGAGGAGATACCACCAGTGAAACGAGGTGTACCAGTAGTTCGGAATAGGCACCCTAGTCCGAACTACCTAGTTCGAGCCCCGTGTAGCCGTGCTGCACGGGGTTCGAAGCAGCGGGGATTAAAAAATGGCGGCTCCCCGCTTATGCTAATGAAGTCCGGGAAATTCAAATCCCGGGCTTCATTAGCAAGTGCGGTATGCATACATTACCCTCCTAGTTCGAACTAGGAAGGTAGTGTAGACATACCCAGAGAGACACTGGGAACATCCAGTACGCAGATGCCCTGAGGGCTAAAGGCAAAAGAATTGGCAGCCCCTAATTCTGGTGCACAAGTCAAGAAAGCAGTCGTCCAGATCGGCACCTTTGACACTGAAGAAGTCAGCACTGGCCCTTTCCGAGGGACCAGCATGCAAGTACAAGCACCTTCGATACCATCAGTGCAGACAATCACGTGCACCCCGGCACCAACCTTCTCGGTACCACCACTGCTTACAGCACATGCTGATTTAGCATTAACTTTGGTACCTGGCACACCATTATTCAGTATCAATGGTATGCCAATCCACCCAGAACCTGGGCTGATCACACCACCGGCTAGTTCAGCACAGCCATTCCCCTCAGATGATGAAGAGGAGGAAGACATGACCCCACAGACTCCATATCACTCCTCCCCAAACCATACCAATCCCACCCAAACAGGGGCAGCTGTACCCTACTTGGCCATATTGGGACCACTGGGCATAATATAGAACCCAGTCCCAGGCAACTCCCAAACCCACAACTCTTCCTACCACAAACCTCCTTCACCTTCATCTCCATCTCAAATGGGACAACAAGAAGATATGGATGAACCAGATGATGCAACTGGAGAAGAAGTCATGATGCTCACCCAGATGAAAATATAATGTCCCCTACCTCCTACTACTAGGGATGACTTCAAATCATTCCAGGACCTTTTCAAGAGGTATACAACCACGTATATGTAAGACATATAATCAGAAAAGGGACCACCTCCACAACTAAAGTATAACTCAGTACCTCTCGCCTCATTTGGTCCCATTACATAGAGTTTTGGA